GTTGATGATATCATTTTCCAGGTCGACGTAGCCATTAAGGGTTTGGGACACATTCCTGCAGAGGTAGCAAGATCGGAAATCTCTGCAATCCTCAAAAACACTATTAGCAACATCAGCAAGGATGAGCACCTTGAACTCTCTCAACTAAAAAAGAGAGATGACACCGTCATCCTCTCAGCCGACAAGGGCAATCCCACTGTCATCTTGGACAAAACCACATACAATAACAAAATTCAGGACCTACTTAATGATGGCAGCTATACCAAAATCAAGAAATTCTACCAACCGCCTGGTTACGAAACCAACAATATGATCACTGATTCGACATCTTTAATCGAACCAACTAAGCGGCTTGCCTTAAAACCCTCTGCTGCTAGACCACCCAGATTTTATGGCTTACCAAAAATCCGTAAAGAAAGCACACCACTCCACCCTATCGTCTCCACCATTGGCTCACCCACCTACAAACTGGCCCGATTTCTGTCTGAGGCCTTGCAACCATTCACTGGTAAACCACTTCAGCTGTACTTAACTCAGCCCACTTGAAATCTTTAAATAAGGACATCTCACTATCTCCAGGTGATTTGCTTGTCAGTTTCAACGTGGTATCTTTGTTTACCAAAGTTCCTGTGCCTGACACCATTGCAATCATTGAAGATTTGGTCCAACAAGGATTGAATGCTGATGTACCAGCCCTGGTTAGACACTGCCTCACCAACACTTACTTCACCTGGAAAGGAACATTCGACAAACAAGTTGAAGGTACCCCTATGGGTTCTCCCTCATCTCCAGTTGTAGCCAATGTTTTAATGGAGAAATTGGAGACAGATGCTATCCAGGCATCCACCATACGTCCTTCCTTGTGGAAGAGACACATTGACGATACATTTGTCATCTGGCCCCATGGCCTACCAGCTCTGGACCAATTCTTCAACCGCATCAATTCCATACACCCAGCTATCAAATTCACCATGGAGGTGGAAAAGAATGGCAAGTTACCATTCTTGATTGTTTTAATCGAAAAGAGACTTGATGGCTCAATGGGACACTGTCGACAAGAAAGCCACCCATACGGATGCTTACCTAAAACCTGACTCACACCACCATCCATCCCAGAAGAATTCCCTCAGCAAAACTCTACACCACAAAGCTCGTATTTCCAACCATCACCACCAAGCCAGTGAACTGGAGCACGTACACCAAACCCTCAAGAGGAATGGATATTCGGACTACACAATCCGTGAAGCTATCAACCCAACCGTGGGAGAGAACCATCTGAGGACCCAATAAAAAACATCACCTTGCCATACATAGCAGGGGTTACCAAAAATATTTACAAAATCATGAGCAAACACAAGATCCAGGTACAGTGAGGGAAAAAAGTATATGATCCCCTGCTGATTTTGTATGTTTGCCCACTGACGAAGAAGTGATCAGTATATACTTTTAATGGTAGGTTTATTTGAACAGTGAGAGACAGAATAACAACAAAAAAATCCGGAAAAACGCATGTTAAAAATGTTATAAATTGATTTGCATTTTAATGAGGGAAATAAGCATTTGACCCCCTCTCAATCAGAAACATTTCTGGCTCCCAGGTGTCTTTTATGCAGGTAACGAGCTGAGATTAGGAGCACACTCTTAAAGGGGGTGCTCCTAATCTCAGCTTGTTACCTGTATAAAAGACACCTGTCCACAGAAGCAATTAATCAATCAGATTCCAAACTCTCCACCATGGCCAAGATTGTAGACCTACACAAGGCTGGAATGGGCTACAAGACCATTGCCAAGCAGCTTGGTGAGAAAGTGACAACAGTTGGTGGGATTATTCGCAATTGGAAGAAACACAAAAGAACTGTCAATCTCCCTCGGCCTGGGGCTCCATGCAAGATCTCACCACGTGGAGTTACAATGATCATGAGAACAGTGAGGAATCAGCCCAGAACTACATGGGAGGATCTTGTCAATGATCTTGGTGACCAAGAAAACAATTGGTAACACACTACGCCGTGAAGGACTGAAATCCTGCAGCGCCCGCAAGGTCCCCCTGCTCAAGAAAGCACATATACATGCCCGTCTTAAGTTTGCCAATGAACATCTGAATGATTCAGAGGACAACTGGGTGAAAGTGTTGTGGTCAGATGAGACCAAAATGGAGCTCTTTGGCATCAACTCAACTCGCCGTGTTTGGAGGAGGAGGAATGCTGCCTATGACCCCAAGAACACCATCCCCACCGTCAAACATGGAGGTTGAAACATTATGCGTTGGGGGTGTTTTTCTGTTAAGGGGACAGGACAACATCACCGCATCAAAGGGACGATGGACGGGGCGATGTACCGTCAAATCTTAGGTGAGAACCTCCTTCCCTCAGCCAGGGCATTGAAAATGGGTCGTGGATGGGTATTCCAGCATGACAATGACCCAAAACACACGGCCAAGGCAACAAAGGAGTGGCTCAAGAAGAAGCACATTAAGGTCATGGAGTGGCCCTAGCCAGTCTCCAGACCTTAATCCCATAGAAAATCTGTGGAGGGAGCTGAAAGTTCGAGTTGCGAAACGTCAGCCTCGAAACCTTAATGACTTGGAGAAGATCTGCAAAGAGGAGTGGGACAAAATCCCTCCTGAGATGTGTGCAAACCTGGTGGCCAACTACATGAAACGTCTGACTTCTGTGATTGCCAACAAGGGTATTGTCACCAAGTACTAAGTCATGTTTTGCAGAGGGGTCAAATACTTATTTCCCTCATTAAAATGCAAATCAATTTATACCATTTTTGACATGCGTTTTTCTGCATTTTTGTGTTGTCATTCTGTCTCTCACTGTTCAAATAAACCTACCATTAATATTATAGACTGATCATTTATTTGTCAGTGGGCAAACGTACAAAATCAGCAGGGGATCAAATACTTTTTTCCCCTCACTGTACGATTCAACACAGACACAGTACATAAAATTCGTGATTTGATCCCTTCTGTGAAGGATGCGATCCCCGGCATGCAATACCCCGGTGTCTAACAAACTAAGCTGCGTATGTGGCAGCAGTTACATTGGGGAAACTAAGCGACAAGTCTCAGACCAGGTCCGTGAACATAAGGCAGATCTGAAACACGGTAGGACCAATACCTCAGACGTGGCTGATCATTATTTTAATGCTGTGGGCACACGCGAAATTGATTTTGGCAAGACGAAGGTACTCTGCAAACCCACTGGCTATTAACAAAGATTCGTTAATGAAGCCATCCAGATATATAAACACAGACAATTTCAACCAAGAAGATGGGTAAAAACTGAGCAATCGTTGGAAGGACGTTATTAACCAGTTTAGGTCATAACTAGTTGTGATGTTCCTATCTTACCTACCTATGTTAACGGTTATTTTCGACTAACACAGCCACCATTAGCTGTGTTAGTAAATAGCGGCTTGCCATTCTTTTCCACCTCCATGTGGCCACTGCACTGTCCGAGCTCTCGCCAAACTTACATTTACAAGCAAATTTCTTACATTGACATGCTAATTTCTCACAATACAATGGCCACCCCCACAGCTCCGTAGTACCTCTCCCACATTGGCATTAGCTGCCCCGCCCATCTCTAAACCATTTGTAAGCGGCTCTTTGATTGGTGTAAACCTACTGCAGGTTATGGAGACGTCTCCTACATTAACATTAGTTGCCCACCCATCTCTAAACCTTTATAAACAGCTTGCCTCGGCAGATTTCCCCCTCTTTTTTTCACCTAAAGATAATTGTTTGTGTTGCGATCGAAACATCGTGATAGTATTATTTTTTCTATCTACGTGGCTTTACCGAAAGACCCAAAAAAACGTAAAGTGAAACATATTTTCCCGGAATAACCAATGTAAATAGCAGAAGTTATGTTCCTGGAGAAAAGGTTAGGTTAGAGAAAAGGTTAGGTTAACACTCACCAGTGATGGTTGTGCAGCTTGCTAGAGGTAGAGTGAGGTGTTGGAGTCACAAGGACACGTACAAAGACTGTTGCACGGTTTTCTTGTTTTTTAGGTCGAGTTGCTTATATTTATTGCAAAGTATTGCTTGTTTTCCTGCACACTTGAGCACTGTGCTACCTTATTGCATCATCCTCACTAAAAATGTCCTACGCCTTGTTGAAGGTGAGGGGCAGCTTTGAAAGCTGCAATGACACCCCGATTCACCATCCTCGGCCTTTAAAGTCCTCAAACAAACTGCCTGCCTTTGTCTAAATCACCAGTAAACGGAGAGTAATGTGGCACTGATGTTGATCAATCCACACTGATAAATAGGCGCTCCATATCTCCTGCTGCAAAGCGGCATGAACGATGATAAATTTGTTTGCAAAGTGATCACATCCGTGGTACTTGAAGCAGAAGGATCACTTGGTGAATGATGCAGCAATAAATAACCTCCCTAAATCAAAACCAAAACAGTCCACAATGAACTGAGATGAGGGTATGCGGCGGCGTGTCATAAAATTCTGCGTACCGTATCGTACCGCTCAATCACGCAGCTCAAGAAAGTAAGGATTTACCGTACAGTATGGCCACACTGGGCTGGCAGGGGACGTTGCCTAGCAACATATGTGCCACGCTGCCGGTTCACTTTCCGCAGTGGAAAAAGGTTGCCCATCGGCAATGATGTTCGAGCGATACCAAGCAACATTAAATGCATACGTGGGTCGTAATTCATCGGCGACTTTGTAGAAAAACACCGTTAAACAGGCCTACGTTAAGCGAGAACCGACTGCATCTGCCAGTCACCTCAGTCAGTCAACCCATGGCACCTGGGCCTGTTCCATGACCTGCTGCCACCAGGTCCACATAGAATAGCACCTAGAATAGCACAAGCACCATGGTGACGTCACTGCCACTTATTGGCAATGGGTGATTGTAGTTGTCTTTTGTTTGTATATGGACTACATTCGTGAGCAAGTGTGTTTATGTGAGCATAAGTCTGTGAGCCTGCGTGTGCATATGTATGTGTGTGAGCATGTGCGTGTGCATACGTCTGTAAGAGTGTAGGCCTCCTCGGCTGTACACTCCGCCTGTGTCGTGGGGTTGCTGAGCGCGAAGATGATTGGCCGCTCGTTCAGCGCCGCCATTGCGCAGATGACATCCGGCGTGAAGAGCCGCCCGGCACCGGCCACTCCTGCCAACATGAGGATGAGGACAAGGGCACGATGGGATGTGGGAAAAGACAGCAGGTGAGGTGAGGGTGGCCAGTCAGGTGGGCAGGTGAGCGAGCAAGCGGGAGGATGAGCAGGTGAGCAGGAGGATGAGCGGGCGGGTGAGCGGGTGATTGGGAGGACGAGTGGGTGGGGGTGGTCGGGTCAGCAGGATGATGAGCGAGCAGGTGAGCATTCGAGCAGGAGGGTTTGTGGGCAGGTAAGTGGGAGAGTGAATGGGCCTGTTTTGTTGCAGTGAGCGCGGGGCCGTGTGTACGACCATTACCGATGATAGCCGTCGGCTTCAGCTGCTGTACCGCATCCAGGAAGGAGGTGACCGGCTGAGAGGGTGGCGCGTGGGCAAACAGCTCCTGGTTATGGTCGATGCCGGCTGGTCGGCCCTGAGGGCGTGCAGAGGACGGACACAGTACGGTCACACGACAAGACACGCATAGGTTAAGAAGCAGGCATGTCGTTGGTCACACAATAAACACATGGTGGTCACGTCATGGGTCACACTGCAAAGGCTCAGCAGTCACATGATGGTCGTGGGATTAAACGTGGCAATCACACGTGTGTCAATGGACACAATGGATAAACATGCACGAAGGACCTGTGTAGAGGGCAATGGATGTGTCACAGATACTCTGAGATCATAGGGTGGACAGGTGTCTGGGTGGCTCAGAGGCCAGAGCACTGAGCCAGCACCATATCCTGGGTTCGAATCCAGGCAGTTGCTGCTACTGCCTGTGATTGAACTGAGCTGTCAAGTACAGGAATACCTTGGTTAACGGAGCCTCTGGCAACGAAGCTCCTTTATAACGAAGTCAACTTAACACGATTTCACACAATTTTAGTGGAATTTTCCAGAAGCGTAATTTGTAACCATGTTCCCGTGTACAGTACAGTACCCAAGCATGAGGCAATACAAGAGTCGCAGGCAGCGAACAGCAGCAGCGAGCGACCCCACTCAGTCTTTGTTCCACCTCGTGCTAGCTCAGACGTGCGCGTGGTTAATATCGCAATTCTATACATTTCAATTTACTTTCATATTCGAAAGTGTATTGATAATGGGTGGTAAAGGTGAGAAACGTGGTGGTGATGCTTCTAGTGGTAGTACAAGTAAAAAAAGTAGAAAAGTGGTAACATTAGAGCAAAAACTTGATGTGCTTAAGTGTTACGAGAACAATGAGCGCACATTGTAATATTGTCCGTGCTACTGGCTTGCATGATGGTACACTGCGAACCATCCGACGGAATTTATAATTGCAGGTTTAAAACCTGAACAATATAAATGTGTTATTTATGTACAAAAGCGTTCGAATTTGTTAAAAGTGTAAACGGCACTGATGCGTTTTTCATTCTTACACTTTGTCTCTCTCTCTCCACTCCACCCATCACAGCTCACAAGCCCAGACTACAGTATTCTTTACTTTAGGTTACCTTCATCATTTTTTCTTTTCTTTTTAAATGTTATTCGTGGATAAAATATACATAAAAAAGGAAATAATAAAAGCACTAACCAAAATATAGTAATAATAAATTAATAAAAATGATACATTTGTCGATCGCGTTTGGGGGCTTTGAACGCAACCCCCCCTTTTTACATTATTTTTTTGTGGGATATGAGTGCTCAATTAACACTTTTACCTTCCATAAAGATTTTCAAGAACGCATTTATCGTGTTAATCGGGGACTACCTGTACCGTATGTTATTCGGTATTTAGTTAATAAACAGGCAACTTAGTTAAGCTATGATGAGTCTGACCGCGTCCGCAGTTCCTCAAGCCCGCTATTTTCCTTAGGCCCCTATACTTTACGAACCGCAGGTTTGTCAACTGCGGCCTTTTCCAGGAACCTAACCCCCTGAGGTTGGGAAGGGATTTCTGTATTTGAATGTAATACCTTTGTTGTAATATGAAAGTGTGTCAGTTTAACACGTAGGCTTTCGCGACCAATATTATTCATAATAATATTAATCGTTCTGATAGCTATAGGCTTAGTGCGGCTTGGAAGCATATTATTAAATAATACATATTACAATTCCTTATGGGGGAAACACATATTAATTAACGGATTACTAATGTAGCATATAATCACAATAACACACATTACAACTAATTACTAATCTACAACTCATTACTAATCATAACCATTGACTGATTACCAATCGATTATATAATTACAATACCCCCCCTCCGCCTCAAATCACTGCACCTGAAATGAGTTAAATGATGACGTCACCCTGCTGCTCTATTTAAGACCGAGAGCAAGTGAGGGCTTTACCATTCTGGCGAATTGCCCGATGATGCTGGATGTACTTACCAGCGAAACGTCGTATTCATACTGTAAATGTTGTGGATTCACTCTTCAACACACCAGTGGGCTAAAGTAGTGAACTAATTAAATTTTGATTTAAAGCTTTCGTGACTGCAGTAATTCATATTCTTAGTTTTTTCGGTAAAGTCACGTTGAAGAGAAACAACAAAATAACAAAATATATATAAAACAATAAAAAATTCTCACGACGTTTCGACCATAACTCAAACGGTCATCATCAGGTGTGTCGGTTTGCATAAATTTATTTTGAAAACGGCATATTTATTTATATATATAAAAATAACGTTTGCGTCACGCGCAACGATGGCAGTTTGCCAGGACTAGTCCATCTATTTTTTTGAAAAGAGGAGGGGGGAGACGAAATTTGTTTTTATGTATGCTGTCTGAAAGGCACTGTAAGCGTGAACAATCAATCAAGAACTGAAATGATTTATCAAATCTTTCCAATGATTGCTAAGATAGAATCCATCTTCTCGGTTGAAATTGTCTCTGTGTTTGTATATGTGGATAGCCTCATGAACGAATCTCTCATGGAAGCCAGATGGCTTACAAAGAACCTCCGTCTTGGAAAAGTCAATGGCATGTGAGCCTACTGAATTAGAACAATGATCTGCTACGGCCGAGGTGTTGGTCCTACCGTGTTTAAGGTCTGCTTTATGTTCACGAATGCGGTCCGAGATATGGCGTTTGGTTTCTCCAATGTAACTACTACCACAGAGGCAACTTAGTTTGTAGACACCAGGGTATTGTATGTCCGGAATCACATCTTTTACAGACGGAACCAGATCACGGATTTTATGTAATGTGTTGAAACGGACCTGGATCTTGTGTTTATTCAAGATTTTGGAGATCTTTTTTTTGTGATCCCAGCAATGTAGGGTAAAGTGATGGTTTTGAAAGGCTCCTCAAGAGGGTTCTTCTTCATGGTTTGAGTGATAGCTTTGCGGATTGTATAGTCGGAGTAACCATTAGCCCTAAGAGCTTGGTGTACGTGCTTGAGTTCACTGCTTATGTGTTCCTGGTCGGATATGCATTGGGCTCTATGATACAGAGTCTTGATGAGAGAATTCTTCTGTGATGGATGGTGGTGGGAATCCGGTTTCAGATAAGCATCCGTATGGGTAGCTTTCCTGTAGACAGAGTGGCTCATTGAACCATCAGGTCTCTTTTTAATTAGGACATCCAAAAAAGGTATCTTGCCATCTATTTCGACTTCCATGGTAAATCTGATGGCTGGGTGTATGGAATTGATGTGGTCGAAGAATTTGTCTAGAGCAGGCCGGCCATGTGGCCAGATGACAAAAGTGTCATCCACGTACCTCTTCCATAAGGTTGGGCGCAGAGTGGCAGTCTGGATGGCGTCAGTCTCAAATTTCTCCATGAAAATGTTAGCTATAACTGGAGAAAGGGGGGAGCCCATTGGGGTGCCCTCAGTTTGTTTGTAGAAAGTTCCATTCCAAGTGAAGTATGTATTGGTTAAACAGTGTCTCACCAGGGGGGGTACCTCAGTGTTTAGTCCTTGATGAACCAAGTCTTCAATGATTGCAATGGTGTCAGGTACAGGAACCTTGGTGAATAAGGAAACTACATCAAAACTGACAAGCAGGTCGTCTGGGGACAGGGAAATACCCTTGATTGTTGATACCAGGTGAGTAGAATTTTGTACCGCAGAGGTGGTCTTTCCAGTGAAAGGACGCAGGATTTCAGACAAAAAACGAGCTAGTTTGTAGGTGGGGGAGCTGATAGTAGAGACTATGGGACGAAGAGGTGTATCAACTTTATGTATTTTTGGTAAGCCGTATAATCTTGGTGGCCTGGCAGCAGAAGGTTTCAACAAAAACTGTTTAGATTGATCAATTAATGCGGTTGAATCAGAAATTATTTTGTTGGTTTGTGTGACGAGGCTGTTGGTGGGATCTCTTTTTATTTTTGTATAACTACCATCGTCGAGTAATTCTTTAATTTTGTTGTTGTATTCTATTTTATCCATGATAACAGTAGCATTGCCTTTGTCAGCTGAGAGAACTACAATATCATTCCTCTTTTTTTATTTATATAATTCAAAACGCTCATCTTTGCTGAGGTTGCTAGCTGGCATCTTAGCGTTTTTGAGGGTTGCAGCGATTTCAGATCTTGCTACGTCTGCAGCGATGTGACCCAGGCCCCTGAGAGCAACGTCTACTTGGGCAATTATATCATTAACTGGTATGTGTTTAGGTGTGACTGCAAAGTTTAGACCTTTAGCTAAAACGGATTTCAGACCATCGGAAATAGAACTGTTACTGCGATTAATTACGACTTTATTAACGTCTAACTTTTTGGTGTGTGGGTCCGGTCTTTTGTTTAAGAGGAGGTTAAATTTGGAAATCAGGTTTTCCTTACATTTGGTCGACATAGTAGCAGCTGAAGAGGCAGTCATATTGTCTACATGTTCCCAATCCGATGTGGACATTATTGCCGTCAATGATAAGTGTGATTTGTAGAGTGTCTTGTCTAACTGATCTAGTTCTGTGCGTATAAGTCTGATTTTTTCTGAGATAAGAGCTAAGCTAGTTTTGAAAAGAATTCGTTTCGCATTAGAAGAAGTTACAGTAGCAGAGGTGAGTGTAAATGCGATTGGTATTACCCCAGAGTCGCGGCATCTCTTCAGGAAGGTGAGAGACTCGATCAGCTGAGCTTTCTTATCCCGGAGTTTGTTGAAAGATCTTAAAGTTATGTGAAAACCCTCCCCGTAGAGGCGATTAAATTTTGATTTAAAGCTTTCGTGACTGCAGTAATTCATATTCTTAGTTTTTTCGGTAAAGTCACGTTGAAGAGAAACAACAAAATAACAAAATATATATAAAACAATAAAAAATTCTCACGACGTTTCGACCATAACTCAAACGGTCATCATCAGGTGTGTCGGTTTGCATAAATTTATTTTGAAAACGGCATATTTATTTATATATATAAAAATAACGTTTGCGTCACGCGCAACGATGGCAGTTTGCCAGGACTAGTCCATCTATTTTTTTTTTTAAAAGAGGAGGGGGGAGACGAAATTTGTTTTTATGTATGC